CAGGAGGATCTCAAGTTCTAGGACAGCCCCCCCGTGCTACACAGTAAAACCTTTTGTCTCAAAACACAAAGGCAAACTTGAGGCATGGTATCAGCACTTGTGCCCTGTAACTGTAGGTCATTTGAGTGACTTCCTTCGTACTGAATGAATTGACCCGAAGCATTGTTACCACACGCTGCCAGCACCACCTCTGCATTTTAGAGGCAGCCTTGATGTCCCTCCTCAACCACAGCCTCAGGTCGGGGGCTCTACCCAGTCAGCGTGCCGGAAGCTAGCACAATCCAGAAGGGTCACAGGTCACCGGAAGGAAGCTCAGGGCATGCCGGGCTAGACCCGCGGCTGTGCCCGCCCCTCTCGAGTGGGTAGGGGAGAATCACTTTCGGGGTCAGAAGGCCGGGTCGGAGCCGGGCGTCCTGGGTCGCCTTTCCTTTGTGCTTACAATCCCTTGGGAGGCCCTAGGTGACAGCTGACCTCTCCTCCTCCTCCCCCTCCTCCAGGATGGAAGGACTGGAGGAGGGGGGCTGCACACGGCGAGATCGGGGGCGCGCGGGGATCAGCAGAGGGACAGCTCCCAGGAGCGTTGCGAGTGGGCGGGAATGCAGAAGAACTGTGGAGGTCATGGGCCGGCGGGGGTGGGGGTCGGGGGGCCGGCCGCCCAGTTGATGGGTGGGTTTGGGGACCCTGTGGAGGTTGTGGCTATGTGTGAGGAAAAGGTGAGAACACTGTGCGGTGCAACCCGGCTTCATCTCGCTGCAGGATCCAGACTGTGGTTTGGACGAGTTTATAGTGACCGGGGCAAGGGCAGAGGGCAAAGGCTAGATGGGAACGGAGAAAGGGAGGTCGACTGATGGAAGTGACCTGAGGGTGCCTGTGTGCTCCGCCTGCAGGAGTTATAAAGGCGATGCGTCTGTTAGGAAGCTTTCGGAGTAGAGACTTTCTTCGAGGGCCCTGGATCCAGTCATCTTTACGTCTGTGTCTTAAGCGGAATTCCACCTGACGTCCTAGCCGGTAGAACCTTCCCTGGAACGCATGTACCTGTCACAGAACTCTGGTTTGCCCACTGTGCTTATTTAGGATAATTTTACTTTTTCTCCCATTTGCAAAATGTATTTTAATTCTTAACTTTTATATCTCTGATAGCATTGTCACGTGTTCCTTTTTCTTTATGTGTGTACTCTGGGTCAGGTCTCCTAAAACATAAAAATGCTACTTGCTGGTGAATAGGCTGTTGTGACACACATGGACCTTAAACACAATCCTGGTGAAGACTGGGGGGAAAAGAGACGTAGAGACAAAGCATCCTCCATACAGAATATGAAAGTAATCATGAGCCCAATGTTGGTAGAAACATGGATGTAAAAAAGCCATTGTGCTGCTATCTCAGAGATGTTTTGGCTGGTTTGTGTTGTAGCACTATCAAGATACAACTTAGAAGAAATGAAACTGGCGGTTTAGCAGAGGAGAGAAGCTAAGGTGTACATCACAGGGGCGGCTTGGGGTCTCCTTACTGATGAGAGTAAAAAGGTGAGAGAAATAAAGAGGAAGTGGTTAAGCATAAAAGAGCCGAACATGGAGATTTAGAAAATTCCCCACCAATATACATTAACAGCAGCAACAACACAAAGCCCCTGTTTTGTCTTCAAATTGTGTAAATCTTTTGCCTTTTTGTAAGAGAGTGCATGCAAAGGGAACACCATGAATTCAACTCAGCAACTGCAGATGCAAAGCAGCAGCATCTTTCTTGTGAATTCCACATGGCATCTACAGTATCTCCACTAATTGAAGCAGGCGATATGATTTCTCATTTTGCCTTGAACCAGCTGTGTACTGTAATTGTGTTCCCCAAAGCATATGTGTTACAAACTTCTCAAATTAATTTGTTGATGGTATGGTGGAGTTAGATCCTTTGGGAAGAAATTAGATGAGTTACTGAGATTTCCCCCACCCCCATCCCATCATGACTGGTCTGCCTGACAATGCAAGAACTATGATACACCTAGATTAAAGTCGTCACCCAAAAAGAACATTATTCTCTTATTTACTCTTATTAGACTTATAGCCCTGATTGTGCAGTGACTTTCTGAGAGAAACCTGAAGTCCTACAGTTCCCTAACTCTTGTCATGTGATGTACTCTGCTATATGATACATAAGAAGGCCCTCATCAAATGGCCACTGCCGGTGGCCATGTCAGAGAAACAGCAGGTGGCAATTGAAGTTCAGGTATCAGGCCACCCGAAGAAAAACTCTCTGATGGGTATATCTCATTTAAGCAAGGCTTGCAAGGATACAGACCCCAGAATGTCTTTTGCTTCTGCTGTGTCTTTGCTGTTGCTATCCCTCTCTGATATCTGACATTGGTTGAACTGGGTGTGGGGAGATTTGCCACTGCCTGTATTGTAGTATGTTTATCTCACGAAAACATCCTGTCCTATGGGGCATTTATAATCTGTGGATTGCCAGGAAGATGACTTCTTCTTAAGCTGTATAATTTTGATGAATAAAAATGAATATGAGGATATGCTACACAGTCAGCCCATGAGTTTCCCCTAAGAGCTGCTTCTGAAATTCTTTATATATTTTGGAGATCAGCTCTCTGTCAGATGTGGGGTTGGTGAAGATCTTTCCCCATTCTGTGGTCTGCTGTTTTGTCATTTTGACAGTGTCCTTTGCCTTACAGAAGATTTTCAGTTTCATGAGGTCCCATTTGTTAATTGTCAATCTGTGTCTGTGCTACTGGTGTTCTATTCAGGAAGTTGTCTCCTGTTCCAATAAGTTTAAGGCTATTTCCCACTTTCTCTTCTATCAGCTTCAGTGTGTCTGGGTTAATGTTGAGGTCTTTGATACACTTGGACTTGAGTTTTCTGCAGGGTGATAGATATGAGTCTATTTTCATTCTTCTACAGGCTGACATCCAGTTAGAGCAGCACCACTTATTGAAGATGCTTTTTTTTCCATTATACAATTTTGGCTTCTTTGTAAAAAAAAAAAAAAAAATAAGTGTCCATAGGTGTGAGGGTTTACATCTGGGTCTTTGATTTGATTCCATTGATCCACCTGTCTATTTGTATGACAATACCATGCAGATCTTGCTGAGGGATGCTCTGTATGTCAAATGTGTTGCTCTGATTGGTTAATAAATAAAACACTGATTGGCCAGTTGCCAGGCAGGAGGAAGTATAGGTGGGACAAGGAGGAGAAGAATTCTGGGAAGTGGAAGGCTGAGTCAGAGAGACACTGCTAGCCGCTGCCATGACAAGCAGCATGTGAAGATGATGGTAAGCCACGAGCCACGTGGCAAGGTATAGATTTATAGAAATGGGTTAATTTAAGATAGAAGAAACAGTTAACAAGAAGCCTGAGCCATTAGGCCTAACAGTTTAAATAATATAAGCATCTGTGTGTTTATTTTATAAGTGGGCTGTCGGACTGCCGGGGATTGGCGGGACCCAGAGAGAAAACTCTTTAACTACAAGATCTTATTACTATTGCTCTGTAATACAGCTTGAAATCAAGGATGGTGATACCCCCCAGAAGTTCTCTTATTGTTCAGGATTGTTTTAGCTATCCTAAGTTTTTTGTTTTTCCATATGAAGTTGAGTATTGTTCTTTCACGGTCTGTAAAGAATTGTGATGGAATTCTAATGGCGATTGCATTGAATCTGTAGATTGCTTTTGGTAAGTTGGCCATTTTAACTATGCTAATTCTACCTATCCATGAACATGGGAGATCTTTCCATCTTCTGATCTCCAATTCTTTTCTTTAAAGACTTGAAGTTCTTGTCATACAGGTCTTTCACTTGTTTGGTTAGAGTTACACCAAGATATTTTATATTATTTGTAGCTAATGTAAAGGATGTTATTTCCATTTCTTTCTTTCTCAGCCCATTTATCATTTGTATATAGGAGGGTTTCTGATTTTTTTTTGGTTAATTTTGTATCTAGTCACTTTCCTGAAGGTGTTTATCAGCTGTAGGAGCTCCCTGGTACAATTTTTGGGGTCATTTATATATAGTATCACATCAGCTGTAAATAGTGATACTTGGACTTCTTCATTTCTAATTTGTACCCTCTTGATGTCCTTAAGTTGTCTTATTGCTCTAGCTAAAATTTTAAGTAGTATATTGAGTAAATAGGGAGAGAGTGGACAGCCTTGTCTTGCCCCTGATTTTAGTGGATTGCTTTAAATTTCTCTCCATTTAATTTGATGTTGGCTATCAGCTTGATACATACTGCTTTTATTATGTTTAGGTATTTCCCTTGTATCTCTGATCTTTCTAAGACTTTTATCATGAAGGGGTGCTGGACTTTGTCAAAGGCTTTTTCAGCATCTAGTGAAATGATCATGTGGTTTTTTATTTCAGTTTGTTTATACGATGGATTGCATTGACAGATTTTCATACGTTGAATCATCCCTGCATCTCTGGGAAGAAGCCCACTTGATCATGAGATTCTATTTCTCTCTCACTCTAGTCTGTCTCTATCTTTCTATGTGTGTGTGTCTCTCTGTCTGTCTCTGTCTCTCTCTCTCTAGATATATATCCATCTCACCTCTAGTCATTCAAGTTATATTGAAACAAGAACTTTGCTTTGAGCATGACTCTGCTTTTGTTATGGGTCTGGGGTCATCCACCAATTCACCAGTCTGACTCAAGTTTTAATTTTAGTAAAATAGAGGGCTTTTATTTAAAAACCTGGCCAGAGCCAAACCAGAGAGTTCTCTAGGTAAGGCCCCAGCTATTGTTAGTCCAAGTATTTTAAAGGCAAAATCCACAACATTATAATTTGGGGGAGGCAAGTTAATGCATATCCTGTCTAAGGGCGGAGAAAGCTTGATTTTATAACAGATGTCCAACAGATGCCTCAGCCATCTAAGCAAGCAAGAAAATGTTTCATACAAAAGCTAAACTTAGCTGTTAGCATGTTAATCTTGTAACCTCTTACCTTGTAAGAATAGCTGAGGCAGTGAAAGATTTTTCAACAATCAGCGGTTTTTTTTTTTTTTTTTTTTTTTTTTTTTGGTTTTTCGAGACAGGGTTTCTCTGTGTAGCTTTGCGCCTCTCCTGGAACTCACTTGGTAGCCCAGACTGGCCTCGAACTCACAGAGATCCGCCTGGCTCTGCCTCCCGAGTGCTGGGATTAAAGGCGTGCGCCACCACCGCCCGGCGCAATCAGCGGTTTTTAAGAATAGCCCAACTGCAGCAAGAAGTCATCCATCTTGGGCAAGTTAGCTGACATGATACATTCAAGATAAGAGCAACTTCCTCATGGCTTACAGGCTAAAAACAATTTTGTTTTTACAAGTCTTTTCAACACAGTAAATTATCATAATGTTCACCATCACACTTTTAGCATGCTTCACACTGACACACCCAATAAATGTTAAAAGATTCCATTGGTGTGTGCATGTTGAGAAGCGTAGCCTAAAGCCAAATTTCCTCAGCCAATGTTTTAGAATTTAAAATATTCAACATTTATGCTATAAAGTACTTGGCATTATTTCAGAAAACTTGTTATAATACAGTTTTTTCAAAAAGCAAAATTATCAACCATAAAAGAATTCTATTGATCAAAGTTTCCCTCCACAGTCCACCTCTGAGGGATCTTCAATAGTCAACAGGTCCAGCTGATTTGAAGAAGATGGCAGCTGTTTTTCTCAGGGGCTTGCCTTCTACCACACTAAACACGTAGACATTTCTGCTCTTTCATGAAGACTGCAGAGTATTTGCACTTAACAGTTTTCAAATATATTTTAAATCTGATTCGTGCCACTTATTCTCACATGTCTACCCAGGACTAGACATAGAATGCTGGCTTCAAGTTACTGTAGGTGAAAGTTTACTTATTACATTACAACTCCAACTTGCAAAGACATAGAATCTTGAGGTACTGAGAGTCTAGTGTTACAGGATAGGGTTTTCCTGTGTTACTCCTTCACCTGCTTTAACAGGATGACTTTGGTGGCTTACAATGTGATGGTAGCATTCTCTTCTCACAGGTACTACCACAATTCTCCTTTCCCAGTCTCATGGCTTTGTAACTGTGTACCCTGAGAACATCCCTTTTACCCTTTGGAAAGTTCAGGATAACTTCTGGTCATCTTCTTCCTCTCAGAGAACTGAAGCAATTGGGCACAGAACGGAATTTCTGCAATTTCCTCTTCAGACTTCTGCACCGTGGAGCACGCATTCACTTATTTCTCATTGCAGCAACAGGATAAATATAATCTAATATTAGGTAGATTTCAGTAGCATCAATATCACAAACCATATACATATGTATCAGATAAATTAAACAAATATTTGTCATAGTGTGGGCCTATAACATCAGAATAATCACTCTACATGATATATAAAATGAACTTATCTCACATGATGTTACAAGCTAAGAATAAAACATGTAAATGCAAATGCCTCAACAAAATTGGAACACCACTACAGAGTCATCCTCAGCCAGGTATTCTTCAGAAAAAAGTTAAGAATCTGTCAACACTAGAAACTATTGTCATCTCCAAGGGGATTAAAAAATAATTTCATCTAGAGTCAGATGTGAGTGACCATAGCCCAGGAACACAGATGTGAGTTACCCCAAATTCCATGTTCCAACATGGTAACAATTTCATAAACTTTTATAATAACAGAACAAAGAAAACGATGTTCAAAACACTTTTCAAAGACGTTAGTAGAAACATCAGGTAGGCAGGTTACAGAAAAGGGGGGAACCTCAAGTCCAGTCCTCTGATGCTCTCTTATCTATATTCATAGATTTCTACTGGGTATAGACTAAGGTTCTGTCTTTACATTCCTAAGGATTTACTTATAATCACAGAGATGTTAGGTCACATACAGAGTTGGGTAATAATTTGCTATAAATTGACAAAAGATGGCCCATGGTAATTTGGCTCTGAACTTGCAAAATTACAGGCTTGTGGTCATGGCTTCTTTCCATACCATTCACTAAACAAAACCATGAGCAAAGACAATGCAAAAAATAAGAAGGTTAATTTAGAGAGACTAGATGCCAGTCAAAAAAATCATATTTCATCTTCTGATTCTTCTTGCTGTTCATGATTTTTCAGAAGTTGAGTTTCTGAGGTGCAGAGCTTGCTAAGTCTCCACTTAACCAACCTGAGTAGAAAGAAAACGATCTCTGGTTAGATGAAATCTAAAATTAAACCTTAAGGCAATGTAAATCTACAGTAAAAACAACTTCAGATTATTTGTATACCTGGAGACACAACTCTAAAAGGAAAATAATTTCTATTTAGCTTTGAGCTACTGAAAAATTATGTAGCTTAAAGTAAGGTGTAAGTGAACAGATAAAATATGGGTTTTCAAATTTATCACATCAGAACATAATTTTGATTATTTCTAAAACAAACAGGAAAATCTATAATCTGTGCAAGCCCAAATGAATATGACATCAGTGGCGTTCCCACATTAGGACCACAACAGTCTGTATATTACAAGAAGATGGCTTTTTCTCCAAAGAATGTACATGGAGCCATTACCTTCCATATAGCTGATAGCCCAAGTTAACTTAAACCCCACAAGTCTAGGCTAGATTTCAGCTCTTCCTTGTAACTTCAAAAAAGTGCTTTTGTAAGCAGGGCACTGGCTGTTAAACTATAGGTGACACTCATATACACAATAAATTAAGAAGTTGAGAGAGGTGGCAAGCTCCTTTCCAGTAGATGGCCAACCCTCTAATCCATGGGCACATGAAGCAATAATTAGACTCAGTGGTGATTTAAAAAAAAAAGAAGAAGACATGTAGTTGGAAGAGGGATGTGTATGAAGAGGTTTTGGAAGAATTAGAAGTGGAAAAATGGGGGTGGCGATGATCAAAATGTATTATATATACATATGAAATTCTCAAAGAATCAATCTGTTTTTAAAGTACACAGAAGTGCTCTCCAACCTATGCCTGTTGGAATACTTTGAAACAAACTCAAGTGGAGGCTTAGAGAAGTGGTGATTGCAGTGACCAACTCTAGAAGATCTAAAGCTTCCTAGTGGCCAAAGCTGAGCCAGTTCTCTACTTCTATGATGTGAGAAATATTTATGTGAACCATGCACAGTTTTTTCCTATATATGATTACCATAAGGGCATTGTATACTGCAACCATGTAAGTAGAACATAATTTCCATAAATTATGAGATCTATGCAAACAAATTTGGTAAATGAAATTACCAAAATCATTCTCACTTTATGAGAAACTTCTCTAATGACCTACATTTTTATTTTAACTTTCTGCCTTCCATCTTTTGGTGAAGTTTGGGCCTGTCTCAAACATATTCCCATCAGGAAGACAGACAGGAAAAAGATGCTTTAGTGGATGAATGTACTTTCCACTTAAATATTTAAGAAGAAAGACTTCCTATTTTTTTCTCCTTCTCCAAGACAAAGACTTGGCGGGCCTTTTTCCATCAGAGGGAACTGTTCTGGGGGCCTTTCAAATCTCCTACCAGGGAGGTGCAGGTGAATGTGCTGCAGGATGATGCATGTGTCAGAGGGACATCACAGACAGCTATTCTAAGTATGAATCACCATTTACTGTTTTGCTGGCAATTTCTGTGTTTCCAGATAATTTTATACTATACTACTTTGTCTTGTGGGACAGTAGTAGAAGAAATTAATTCCTGAAAAAGATTTGAACTTTAAGATTAACTCAGTTGAGTCTTAATGATCATATCTGATGAATGAAAGTCATTAACTTACCAGGTAACAAGAGCATAATTAATTCCAATGATGGCATAGGTCAATGCATAATACAAGCAAAAGCATATGGTGAGAAACATAACGTTGCTATGATCAGACAGGTCCCATGCATAGTTTCTATTTTTGGGATACAGGACAAAAGAAATCTGTGTTTCAAAAAAAAAAGCACATAGAATAACCAGACACATTATCAAAAAAACATTTATTCAGTGTACTTGATAACTAGATGAGTGTCAGTGTCAGAGATAGCAAACATGAATCATATTTTCTACCTATTTTAATAACAGACAATATTTACCTAGTTGTCTTTCTGAACTATCTCAAAAGAGTGCTAACCCCTAAATGTACCATTGTTATTAATCCCCTCACTTGTACCACTTCCAAGGCTCAGGGAATATCTCAGGAGAGGAGGCAAAAGGAATATAAGAGCCAGAGGATAGGGAGGAATGCTATGAAATGCTGTCATCTGAATATGACATGGCTGTCCCACTTATAAACTCACAAAAGATATGGTTGTTTGTCCAAAACTAGCCACAAAATCAAGCCAAGCAAAATTCTAGTATATATGGAGGAAGTGCTTTCCAGGCCCTAACATTTACTGAGGAGTTGATAGTTGTGAGAGAAGAATCATTCTCTTTAGAGGGTGTGGCCACCAGTAGATTCCCCACGTTGCAGTGGATGAACCCATGCCTGTGCATTTATGGGAAGCACTAATTTGACTCAGTAAATTTTCAAAAAAGAGAAAATGTGAAGTTGGGAGAGAGATGGGCTGGGGAGGGATTTGGGGACTAAGAGGGATGAAATAGGATAATGATATGAATATATGATGAATTATATGATCATAATTCATTGTGTACATAAATGAAATTCTCATGAATGAAGAAAGTTGTTTTTAATATGTAAATGATCAGTCAACAAATGGAAGATGAACGACATCATTGGAGAAAGGTAAATCAAAATGGCAGTGGGATAAAACTTGCTACTCACTAGAAGGGCAATCATCATAGCAAGTTAAAAAATAGCAAATATTGGTGAGAGTGTAGAGGAACTGGAATCCTTAAGCCTGTAAAATGAAACTGTTTGGTGAAAAAGATTGACAGTTTCTCAGAAAGTAAAATTTCGAATTGCCATATGACTAGCATTCTACTCCTAGGAATGCCTCCAAGTATTCAAAAAAATGTGTGCATAAATGTTCATAACAGCATTATGACTACCCAAAGATGAAAAAGAAATGAAATATTAATATATGTGATAACATGGATAAAACTTGAAGATATTATGTTGAGTGACAATGAGCAGAAACAATAGGCCATGTATTGTCCTATTCGCTTTCATGTAAAACATTCATAATAGGTGGGGTTAGAAAACAAATTAGTAATTGGCAGATCCTGGCACCAAAGAAAAGGAGAATAACTGTTAGTTGGGTGCAGGGTTTTCTGTGGTGATATTGTGTTCCTCAAAATATTGTGCACCCTAATAAACTTATCTGGGGTCAGAGAACAGAACAGCCACTAGATATAGAAGCCAGAAAATGGTGGCACACACGCCTTTAATCCTAGCATTCCAGAGGCAGAGATCCCTCTGGATCTCTGTGAGTTCATAGCCACACTAGAAACAGCTAGGCATGGTGACTCACGCCTTTAATCCCAGGAAGTGATGGCGGGAAGCAGAAAGTTACTTAAGGTGTAAGAATGAGGAACTAGATCCTGGTTAAGCTTTTAGGCTTTTGAGTAGCATTTCAGCTGAGATCAATTTGGATGAGGACAGAAGCTTCCAGTCTGAGGAAACAAGATCAGCTGAGGAATTGGCGAGGTGAGGTGGCTGTGGCTTGTTCTGCTTCTCTCATCTTCCAGCATTCACCCCAATACCTGGCTCTGGGTTTGTTTTTATTAATAAGAACTTTTAAGATTCATGCTACAGTTTTCTTTGCATGGATGATAATGTTTGAGAGGTTGTTAGAGGTAGTAATGCATGACATTATGAATAGAATAAATACTGCTGAATTTTATCCTTTAAAGTTGTATGTTCTGTGAACTTTATCCCAATAAAATGATAGATGAGTGATTGATTGAATAATTTCAGGTCTCTAGAATAAAATGAAATATAAGTATTTGGATAATTATATAAATGATATGGTAAGTTGGTCGTGTATCCATTGCAGTGCCTACAAGTTCCTTCCAATGGCCTTTTCAGAATTCATTATCACCCTTAATCTGTTATCTTCATTTCCCAAAAAATGAATTTTTTTACAGAAAAAAAAAATAGGCACGCCGGGCGGTGGTGGCACACGCCTTTAATCCCAGCACTCGGGAGGCAGAGCCAGGCGGATCTCTGTGAGTTCGAGGCCAGCCTGGGCTACCAAGTGAGTCCCAGGAAAGGCGCAAAGCTGCACAGAGAAACCCTGTCTCGAAAAACCAAAAAAAAAAAAAAAAAATAGGCACTTAGTCTATATTGAGTAAAGCCTTAATTTCATTTCTTCCTTAAATTTCAAATAGTCTGAGTTAATCCGTAGAAACTGAGATTTTTTGCTTTAATCAGTTGTCCCATGTATAGATTCCCTGTGGTTGGAATGAGAACTACAACTTTTGTTATCTCATATATCTGATCAGGTGATATACACCATGTGCTATGCAGTTTATCCTCATTTATGCATGAGCTCTTTGCAATAATCTTTAGTCTTAAAAAAATAACTTCAATAGGGAGGTTTAATTGTCTCTCCTAATATAAGGGGAAGTCTGGAGTTCAGAAACTTCCATAATTTTGACAATGATCAAAAGCTTGTGAATGACCCAGGTAGTATTCCTCAGTGGGAGTGCCTGCCTTCTGTCTCTACTGCACACTCTCCATCAGTATCCATCCTCTTTATATTGGTCAATATGGAAACATAGTGGACTGAACCACCAGGTCAGTCTGAAGCATCTCAGCAGTTTGAACAATCATAGCTAAGAAGGAAGTTGGTCCCATGAAGACATGTTACTATATTACCCCTAAAACACATATTTCCTACTCTGTTGACCATGATACTTGAAATACTTGAAATAGCCTCACTACCCAAATACCTGCTTTCTGGTGGCTAAAAATCACTAGAACACCCTATTTAAGCAACATACTGCTTCCATCCCAGATATTGTTTAAATCTTTAAGTGCATATCGAAGTACAATTTATCAGACATCATAAAACATGTAATCATTGATTGAAATTCTACTTTCAACGTAATATTGATGTTAGAGAGTCAATATCATCAAATGGAAAGAGACTGAGAGTTGAGATCAAACATTTCCAGACTTAGATCCTCATTCAAGTTTTTTGGTTGTTTATTTTTGGTCCTTTGTGAAACAACGTAAGCCCTAAAGCAGTAGTTCTCAACCTGTGGGTTACAACCCCTTTGGGGTCAAATGACCTTTGCACAGGGGTCACCTAAGACCATCCTGCATATCAGATATTTACATTATCATTTATAACAGCAGCAAAATTACAGTTATGAGGTCACAATGGAAATAGTTTTATGGTTGGGAGTCACCACAGCCTGAGGAACTATATTAAAGGGTCATAGCATTAGGAAGGTTGAGAATCACAGCTGTATATGAACGAGAGCAGTAACACAACATGAGGACTTGCATTAAAGTGTCGCAACATTAGGAAGATTGGGAACCACTGTCCTAGAGCCAGTAAGTGATCTTAGGTAGAGATAAGAGGCTGCTTGACTTTCCCATTAGTCTGATGGCCAAAGTCTGAGCCTAGTACAGATTTCATTCAAAACAGAAAAATGCATGTCACTGCTTTCATCTTCAGCATTTAACAGTTTTCCAGGCCCCACATCTATCAATGGAATTTGGCAAAGGGACAGGGTGAAGATGCTGGTTTTGGTAGGGGGCATATGTGTTGTTTCTACCATGTGTCAAGCATATTCACCTCTTGGTCTGTACTCATCCAGGATTCCTATTTGAATTCCCATAATCTCCTGTATGTTGTGGCATTATCTCCACTAATATGGATGCCTGCCTGTTAAGCTAAGTTTATATGGAAATACTTAGCAGAGAATTGCCTAGTTCCATTATGGTGTAAGACTTGCAAAATAGTTTAATCTTCTAGAGTCTTCCTATTGATAAGTTAAAGATGATAATACCTAACTGTTACATTATCATAAACAAAGTGAAATACAATGTTAATAGAAATACAATAAGAGATAAACATACATAAACCTACATATAGCATACACCTATAATCACAACACTAAGGATGCTGAAGCCTTGAATTCTAGGATGTTGAGTTCAAGGCCAACCTGGGATAAGTTAGACACTAGTTAGACACTCTCTCAAAAGAAATTTTTTTTTTTAGTACAATGGCAACTATACACTTATTTCTCAGTAAATAAAAGGTTCCTCCCTTGCTTACTTCCCATTTGTTTCTGGAGCTTACTACTGATTAGGCTATAAGCCATCTTATTATCAAGAACTGATGATGACTAATATCAATTCAGAGTTTCTACATAATGGATAACCAGATGTGATAATAGTCACATTCTAGTTCCTGCTCAGCTGCTCTACCAGTGTTCCCACTAGGAAGCCTGAGGTCACTTAAAGACATTACCTCTTAAAGACCAACAGTTTCACTGTAGACAGCATGTCATAGGAAAGTCTCTGGACTCCATAAGAAACTACCTCATCAACAAAGGAGAGAAGCCACAGGTAGAAACAAAATAGAGCCGGAGGCTTCAACTCACCTGATAGAACCACATCCCCTGTAGCATGGTGAGGCTTGACCTCAGGAGCTCCAGAACTACATTGTTCTTTGTGAGGAATTCTATGAAGGCAACCAGACCTGCCAAAAATACAGCAAAGCTCAACAGTTGGTGCCCAAAGATGTCCACCAATGACCGGCCATGTGTGTGATTGTGGAAAATGAAAGCTAATAGGGTAGAAAAAAAAAGTTTTTTTTTTTAATAAAAAACAAAGATAACCAACTCAACAGTTCTCTCTCCCACCTTCTTTCCCTCTGAAGCCACAGAATTTTATACACCTATACAACTGATCAAAGGATGAGGTCCCACTGGGTCTCACAGAGGGCAGCTTTGCAGCTTTTGTCCATTATCACCGCCTATTTAGAATAGAATCATTGAAATTCAACCTTCCTTTTCCTTCTCCAACCTTTATTTTCTCCTCTAACATGACATTTTCAACTAACTGTTTTTAAAGGCATTATTATGCACGCTGGTGAATAATAAACATGACAGGGCAGGGAGCTACAATTCACATGAATATGCAGATGAATAAGCTGAAGCCAAAGCCTTGCCTTAAGGAATTCAGTGCCCTGAAATAAGTAACCACACCCATAACTCACACCTTGAGAAATGCGCCAGTGCTATCTTCCAGAACTGATGATGACTAATATCAATTCAGAATTTCTACTTAATAGATAACCAGATGTGATAACAGTCACAGTCTATTATCTATATAGGAAACATAATAACTATAATGTTTCATTACATAAACATATTCCAGTTTCACCTTAATAGTTTTCACTAAACTAAAAGAGAAGGATGCTCATTAAAGATATAAGAACCAGACTATTAGCTGTTGCAATTCTTTTTTTTTTTTTTTCTGGCCCTTGTCCTTAAAAAGCAACCATCAAGCACTACTTTCTTCACATCGGAGTGAAGGACAAGCGCCCCTAGCCACTTGTAGCTCTCAGAGCTCCATAATTAATCTACTTTTTCACGTGTATAATAAATGAAGAAGAATCATTAAAGACATTTTTCTCACCCACCTCAATAATCTTGGAGAAAACGAACAAAATATATGATTTATTTTTCATTAATTTCTGAAAATTAGGATTTCCACTTCTAATGTGATTGAAATTTGCAGACTCAACTTTCCACATCCTGGCAAAGTTTCACTGTATCAGTGATTTAAAAGCTGGTTGTCAGGAGGCAGAATCTATTCTGCTGCTAACAGCTAGCTATCCCAGTTGAGCATTCATACTTCCATTACTCTCTGAGTTTAATTTTCATTATTAAAAGTATAAAGAAGATAATTTCTAAGAAAACAAAGAAAGAAGGTGATTCTTCAGGACAGATGTGAAACATGAATAAATCACATTAAATGGTTGTATCTGCCCAGTCTTGAGAATGAGTCAGAGAAGAACCATTCTTGGCATCCTACAGGGAATAGCCAGATGTCTCAGTATGCCCCAGATACTTTGCCCTGTCAACCAGGGCTGCACTAAGAAAGCAAAGATATTTTATTTTACAGGGCTACCCAGATGCTTACTTTGAGACAAATACAGAGAGAAAAAGAAAAGAAAATTCTACTCCCCCCTACTTACCTTCCACAAATAAGGCACTTGATAACGTTAACTTGACCAAAGAGACTGGAAGTGAACTAAAGATGGAACATAAGATCTTGGTCCCACCTAGTATTGCAAAGAAGACATACATGGCAAGATGATGCCAGTGCAGGATTAGGGTCAACCTGGATTCTTTATCTGAGAACTGATGTATCTTTGAAAGTGCGATGTATAGACCAATTATTCCTGAAGAAAAGCATAACACAGTTTATCAACACTCTACATGGTTTTACCTAGCACACACATACAGGAAGATATGACCATTGCTTATTTCAATCTACTATGTCCTCTTATAACATTACTTCCTCTTTGGGTGGTTCTCTAACAGTTTTGTAGTGACACTTTAGACTTTCTTAGAGGTTCAAATGCTAGTTGAGATAACCAATTTTATAGTCACAACCAATGCTGATTGGCACAGCATATCTGAATGGAATGGCAGAAGTCATAAAGCCAGCACAGCTGCTTGACAAAGATCCAGCAAAGCTGAGCCACATGATGGCTGCCATACCACCTTTGGTTCTCATCTCCACCTGTTAGATACTTGGGGCACTTTTAATATTTGTACAATTTGGGGATGTTGGATTGATGGAAAATTCCATATGAATCATTCATGCCTTCTCCAAGGAATGCTGCTTCTAAGCTTACCCAGGAAAGTCCTGAATATACTATCCCCCCCACACACACACACACTTTGAGGGAGATATCCTTATCTACTTGAAGGTCTTCCTTATGCCTTGGAGGTTGTGACACATAAAGAAGAAGCCAAAGGTTTCTTCATGAGGCTATGAGACATTCTTGAAACATCTGTCCCTCTACTTACACTGGAACAAGATATTCAAACCAAAGTAAATTTTAAAAGGTCAACAAGATTCAGTGGGCTAGAGGAATTGTCCACAGTTCAGATTACAAGGCTCTTCCCACTGTACACTCAGACAATTACATGGCATACAACTGCCCTACACAAAGACATATTGATGAGCAAAGTGTGGAGTGGAAAGGTGATAAAAGTACGAAATGTTAGGACCTCCCTCTCTTAGAAGTTAGCTCATGTAGAGCCACTATAATGTCATATGACCAAGGAACAACAGAATGCCAGGATTAGACATATAGACAAATTCTATAAGGATATAAATGTGAACATTGATTGTAATAACTGCAGCAGCTTTAGCCTGAGGATTTTTCCTGGGCACTCTGACCACTGAGAGTTAATAATACACTGCTTGGGACATGGCAAAATGCCCAGGGTGGTTGAAGATTTTGTTTTGGTCTAATGTCCTTGAAGCAACCAAAACAACCAGCCTGAGCACAGGTTGTCATATGCCTCTAGATTCTCAAAAATTGGGTTATGGGGTTAATGAGTAAGAATGATAACTCTGTTTATTAATGATGTCAAAACTTGAGGGAAAATGATTGGAAATAATAATTCTGTTCTGTCATAGTTTATTAAGGATGACTAAAAGATGAGCAAAAGGAAGTGAAACACATGTCCAAAACCAAAAATGATATGATTTATGTTTTGGAACATCATGAATGTATCTCTGATAACTAAATTCTGTATAAATAAAGAAACACTCTGGCTGCTAGTCAGTCAGCCTGCAAGATTCTCCCGACCACCATAGCCTGGCTCACTTCCTTCTCCCTCTGACTCCTTACACCCTCTGCAGGACCCATCCACCACCGGGTAATGGCTCCTGGCAGCTGATCATTTTGGTTCAAGTGTTTATTCCAACCTAATGTCCAAGGCTTATGAGACTGTCCTCTAGAGGCTGACTCTTCATTTCCTAGCTACCAGACCTTTGGATAGCCACTAGGTAAAGGATTGGCCTTGGTTCCTGGGTTCAAAACAAAAATTCTTAAGATTCAGCTTCCTTCAGCTAAGGATAAGCAAGAATCCCCAATGGATGCAGCACGTGTTATAGTCAGTTTAACAAGCACTTGAACTTTCATAGAGATGTTGGATTACTTACTAACATATAGAAGTTTGCAGATAAATTCTTCTCTTTGAAAACAATTAGTGTGAGTCCTATCAAAAATCTCTTTCCGTGAATAAAGCACAAAAAAACTTAACGGAAAAACAGAAAGCTTTGTCTTTTATAAGAGGCTACAGTGAAACTAAAAACAGACCATTTGAATGGAATTCTCCAAAACAATGGAAAGGCTTTGTAAATTGTCTGGCCAAACTGCTTTCTTTAATTCAGGAAATTAGAAAAAAAAGAAGGATGTGATCATGAAGCAAGGCCTTCCTCAGCCCTGACCCTTCTCCATAACCTCCTTGCAATGATTTATTGAAACTTTCCAATAATCATTGATTATTTTGCATCACCTGCAAATGGTTTCTATAGGGTTTATTCTTTCAAGGATCAAAAAAATTTAATATGAAATTATTTCAGAAGATCCAACCAATTCCACAAAGGAAATTCATCATGATTGAGTAGGTAAATTAAATACTACAATTATTTTATTAAGAAATAGGCCTTCATATAAACCCCAATACCATATTGCTAACAAATTATATCATATGGAAATTTTAATTAAAATATTTAATAAATATTTGAATAAAATATTCAGCTCTATATTTTGTAAAAAAAAAAAAGAAAAAGAAAAAACTTGTCTATGCATATAAAAATAACAAATTGAGAAAATACAACACGGTAAGTCAACTCACCTACTGATGCCATGCCAATAATCACAATTCCCTCCAAAAGTTCTGCTCGAAAGAAGAATTCTTTGGTAATAAGGGAGGAAGACCTCTTTTGCTGTTTACAAACATGCTTCAGAATGCTCTTTGTACTCCACCAAAGAGCTATGATAAGGAAAAGTGTTCCAGCAAGGAAATGACCTTGGAAATCCCCAGGGACCTACAAAGAAAAGAATATTCAGATGATAGATATTTCATTTCTGGAACATCACCAAATCATTTCTCATCCCCAAAACAAGCAGACTAGCTAGCTTCTGGTGGTTATTAGCGCATAGTAGATCATATTATAGTATCAGATATGCTGATAAAATTAAAACTCACTTTGATACTTGATAGTGTGCATTGTGTGAGATGTTTTAAATGACATCTCTAGCCTAACCTTCACAGCATACCCATGAATAAAGGATTAATATTCCATTTTCAATTGAGATATATGTTTATAGGAGTTAAATGACTTCCCCAGATCTCACAACTATTAAGCAATATTTTGTTGCTTTTTAACACAAGCCTCAAAATGGTTTCTTAAGAAGACAGTATGCAGCCGGGCGGTGGTGGCGCACGCATTTAATCCCAGCACTCGGGAGGCAGAGGCAGGCGGATCTCTGTGAGTTCGAGGCCTGCCTGGTCTACAGCGCGAGATCCAGGAAAGGCGCAAAGCTACACAGAGAAACCCTGTCTCGAAAAACCAAAAAAAAAAAAAAAAAAAGAAGACAGTATGCACTTCATTAACCACTTGTTCTTTAAATATAGAAGAAAGTAATATGAAACCCTTACCTGATTGTTGAGAGTTTGAAATGATGTGAAATTGCCTATGAATTTTTTCCACATACATGATTTCAAAGTATCAAGGACCAAGTGTGTGAGAGATTGTTAGCATTCATTTAACATTTGTGTGTTTTTCCACACACCTTCTCACCCTCTCATGCAGGTGGATGGAAACCATTGTTTTAGTTCTAGCTAGCTGACTGAGTAAGGAATTGGCACATATCACTTTTAGGTTGAGTCACTGAAGTCTACATGATTCCCTCAGCTCTCTCTTCTGCATTGGCAACTTTGGCATGCCCTGACTGCAACACAGGAGATTGTCAACATACTACTTCAGATATCCAAAGAAATAACCCTTCGTTGGTCAATGCTATAGGAAAGATGGTCTTGCACAGTGTGATTTTCTTTTTATTTTGTGTGCAGCCCTTTGTTCAAATATATTGTGCCATCAATGGAACAATGATGACATAATCTAGAATCATTCTATGGGCCTAATACTAGGCTAGAGCTAAGCACAATTATGAAAGAGGATTTCAAGATATCCTCTGAACAGAAAACTAGGATTCCCTGGTTCAGGGCAGACCTTGTGGGTTATTCCTCTGTGATTTAAAGGAAGCTCTGGAAGAAACTGTAAAGCTGACACAAATACTGTGAAGTATCATATCTCCAATTGCTATGGTCCATGGCATATAATAACAGATCGCAATTAATAATTCAGACATCGACCCATCAGATGAATAACTCTTTGATGAAGGAACCTCATCAAGCAAGGCTTTTGAGGCCATAGAATCTGAAAACTGGTTGTTTCTGTCTGTAATTTTTTCATGTGCTATTCTAACTCAACCTGGATTGTTAGTGTATTTTCTCCATTAATATACTGGGTACAGCCGGGTGGTGGTGGCGCATGCCTTTAATCCCAGCACTCGGGAGGCAGAGGCAGGCGGATCTCTGTGAGTTCGAGGCCAGCCTGGGCTACCAAGTGAGTTCCAGGAAAGGTGCAAAGCTACACAGAGAAACACTGTCTCGAAAAAAAAAAAAAAAAAAAAAAAAAAACAACAAACAATATACTGGGTACATTTATCTGTGGATGGTCAGGAAGAATATTTCTTTTTAAGCTCTATAATTTTGACAAATAGAAATAATACAAGGATATTTGTTATAGCTCAGTCTGACATAGAAAAGCAATATTTTTATACAATTAATTGACTTAAGACCTCAGAGCAAATTCAAAGTAAACTAGTTGCCCCTGCAAATGACCCTCAAAAACAGCTTTCTATTGTAATATGCCATGGACCATGGCGTCTTGTTCTTTCTTTTTTACTTCATCTTGAAAATTCTCTCTTCTTTTTTTCTTTGTCTTTACACAGTTATATACATTCCCAGCAGAAAGCTCTTTTTGAGGGTCACATTTCTTGAGTAAACAATAAGAAACAGAATCATCCACGGCCATACAGTTTGTAACCAAAAAAAAAAAAAAAGAAACAGAATCATTCTGATAACACACATGAAATCATACAATTTCTCTCAGATTTGGCATGTTATGCTGACTGGGTAGCCAGCGTGGCTGGGAATAGCTGTCAGTCAAGCTCCCTGGTGAGCAGATGGAAGGCACATAGCACTTGAGTGCTCCGCACCTTCTCAGGGGACAATGACCTTGAAAGTATCCTAGGACCTAAACATAAAGTTAGTTGGCTGAACCTTGAGTCTTGTATCATAAAACTGAGATTAGAAGTTTGGAATCCACAAGGATGACCCCACCTGGGAGTGCTGGCAGTGGTCTAGAGGGTGCCTGGACTGGTCTACTCTGGTGACCCATCTAGTGAATACCCTAACCGTCATCATAGAGCCTTTGTCCAGTGACTGATGGAGGCGGATGCAGAGATCCACGGCCAGGCACCAGGCTGAGCTCCAGCTCATCTCCAATCGGTTAGAGATGAGAGATTCTGCAGGCGAGGGATGTCAAGATCATGATGGGAAGACATGCAGAGATGACCGGCCACACTGGTGGAAGCCCATGAACTGTAGACTAGTGGCTGTGGAGCCCCCATGGGACTGGACTAGGCCCTCTGGATATGGAAGACAGTCGTTTGGCTCAAACTGTTTGGGGGCACCCAGACAGGGGGATCAGGAACCATCACTGGTCTATGGGCAGGCTTTTGGGAATCCGGTGCCTGTGGTGTGATGCCTTGCACAGCCTTGGTGCAGTGGGGAGAGGCTTGGACCTGCCTACGCTCAGTTTGCCGGGCTTTGCTGACTCCCCATGGGAGACCTTGATTTGGGGGATGTGGGGATGTGGGGTGGCTTGGGAGGGAGGGCTGGTGGGTGGGAGGAGGGAGGAGTTGGGATCTGTGGGTGGTATGTAGAGTGAGTAGAAAATTTCTTAAAAAAGAAAAATGAAAAAATTTTAAAAAAAATTAAAAAGAAAAAGAAAAAAGTTTATGCAGAGAGTCAGTTGCTGAGAGAATCTGTGCAGGGAGTTGTGTCTTTAATGTTATCAGCCAGACTTTTGCAAGTGAAGAGCTGGCACTAAAGTTGCTTCATGCCTGACCTTGGTTCCACAACCAAACACCTGGGAATCTGTCCTTGTATGATTCATTTTCAGGGGTAACTGGTCTACTTTGAATTTGCTGAGGTCTTAAGTCGGCTAATTATGTAAAAGCTATCTTTATAACTGAAAATACTGTTACTTTCCTATGTCAGCCTGAGCTATGAAAAATATCATCATACTATTTCTAGTCATCAAAATTATACAGTTTAAGAAGAAATCATCTGCCTGACTATCCACAGATAAATATGCCCAATATACCATGGAAAAAATACACTACCAATCCAGTCTGAGTTGTAATAGTACATGAAAAATTACAGACAGAAACAACCAGTTTTCAGATTCTATGGCCTCATAAGCCTTGATTGATGAGGTTTCTCCATCAGAGACTTACTCATCTGATGGGTTGACATCTGAATTATTAATTGCCATCTGCTGTAATATGCCATGGACCATAGCATCCAAAAAAGACCCCAGATGCTTCAGTCTACCCTTAAAACATCCAAATCATCTAAGAGTCAGATTCAGTATATCTCACGGCAGTAAGCATAGGTTCTTGTCCTAACTCTATGGAATGGTTTGGGCCCCATCTTTTGGCTTCTCTGAGCACTAGTTCTTAATAAATAAAAAGAGAAGTTATCCCCTGATAATATAAGTGAAAATTGGCATCATTTCTTTGCCCATTAATTTGACAGTTAATAGAATAGTTGAGAGTCCACTCACCCCATAGTACAGCAATTCTGTTTGTAGCACATGCCCTAGAAATTATACAGGTCCGCTTCTCTTGTGTATATGTGAAAAAATGGCATTGTTACATCAAGTGTGGAAAATAAAACCACAACTAACTCACCCATAGATAGATTAATAAATAATATGCTGTAACATAGATACACTGTGATTATGGTTAAAGTATTGTTTAGACAAATGACCGGCCCCTTCTAAGTCTGGCAGTTGTGACTATAACTGCTATTAACACTCATGGACAAGTGATAGTATGACTATAATTTCTTAATTTATTTCAATAAATAATTACATCTGGCAGTATACAGTGATTCTTAATTTTAAGTGTTTTATAATTTTAATATAATTTTTAATTTATTAGTTGAGATTTTCATATATGCATATAATGCATTTTGATCATATTCACTCCCCAACCCTCCTCCAAATCTTCCCAGACACTTCTATATCCCCTTGGTAACTTCATGTTCCTTTTTTAAAATAGCTCATTGAGTCCAGTTGACGAAGCCCATAAATGCATGGGCCATCCACTAGAGCATGGTCAACTCACCAAGGCAGATCAACTAAAGAAAACTGACTCTTTTACCTAGCAGCATTAACTGTCAATAACTCTACAGGTAGGGTAGGGCTCATGTGCTTCCCTACCCTCATGCAGAGATTTTTTTTTTTAATTATTAAGGTGGAAGGAAAATTCAAGTTTCAAAATAATGCTATACTTTGGTGTAATTTGCATACCATTAAAACACCTGAAATATAATATGATTCCTTTATAATGGTTTTCCTACCAAAGTAACCTACATATTCAGTGCAATCACCATGAAAATTCTTCACAGAAATCAAAAAGATAAAAATGGAAATACACAGGCGGTGGTGGTGTATGCCTTTAATCCCAGCACTCAGGAGGCAGAACCAGGCGGATCTCTGTGAGTTCGAGGCCAGCCTGGTCTACAGAGAGAGATCCAGGACAGGCACCAAAACTACACAGAGAAACCCTGTCTTGAAAAAAAAAAAGAAAGAAATGGAAATATAAGAGCTCTAAGATAGCCAAAACAATTCTGAATAACAAAAAAAAAAACACACACACACACAACTGGAGGTATTACCATGCCCAA